CGCTCTTAGGTTGGAGGTCATCGCTACTAGGTTGGAGGCCACTACTACTATATAGTAGCAGTAGCAAGGACGTTATTAGGGTGGAAGACTCTCGCCTTCGGCGCTCCGGCGGCGCTTGGCTGCTGAAGAATTGACTTCTCCGGGCTCACGGCCTGCCGTTTCGAGGTCTCCGGTCGACCGATGGATGGGTCTCAAACAGACTGGCCAAGGAGAAAACGGTTCACTTGATCTGCCCGGGCTAAATTCACCCGAGTTTCCACATCTACAAAGCTCCAAGTGATCTTTTCCTCAATGTTTGCTGTATACGTTTATCTTTGACGGCTTAGCTCTCTCTTGGCCAAGCGCAGGGTGCACTACTTCAAACTGTGCTTTGTGCACATTTGCAAAATGCATAAATGCGTTTAAATTAACTTGCAAACTCTCGCACCAATGCCTACAAATGTGCATTGTTGTTGCGTTTTTGCACTGTTCACAACATTCCGTCACTGTGCGATGCGAGGGGCGGTTGGTCCAGCTGACCATGTGCCGGCCTGTTTTGGCTTGCAGGCCCCTGTGTTGGCTTGGAAGCCACTGTGCAAGGCCGGACAGCCAGCTGAACGACAGCTCACTTTGCACACCCCTGCTTGCCGCGTAGGGGCTGAAACTGAAGCACTTGCTGCTGGGCCATCTGCTGGTATTGAGCCTGCTGAAGCTGCCTCTCGAGCATTTCAAGCAACGAGGCAATGCTGGCCTTTTTCCCTGGAGCAGATGCAATACGATTGTAGAGAACCTTCATCTCCTCTGGTCCACGGCTATACTCAACCAAACTATTGGCCACATACTTTCCAAACCTATCGTCCATCAGCTGCACTAGTGGAGAGGATCGATCCGAGGGATCCACTCGATCAGGGCCAAGCACTGCACGGATGAGCCGTTGACGCTCCTCTTTCAGGAACGACGCGTGTTCCCCCGTAGTCGATGCTTCAAAACACTTCTCCACCACGTTGCTCGCATGCTTGTCTTTGCCAAGCTCCAGCACGTGGTTGCAAACCTCATTGACAATGCTCTTTTTGTGTTCTGGATTCCCATGCTCGAGAATGTGACGAATCACATAGTTGCCATATGGATCGGTAGACAGCTTTCGGATACTTCGAAGAATCTGCCGCAACATCCTCTCCAAGCGCTTTGGTGTGCAGTGCTCCAGAAGACGTTGGATGATGCGGCAGCCATAGATGTGCGCTGCCATGGCCTCCGCCTTGTCCTCCACAGCTTCCACTACAAAGGACACCGATTCTGGAGGCATCTGTTCAATGCATTTCTGGACAACATGATTGCCATGCATGCTCTTGATGCAGTCAAGAACTCCATGCTTGAGCTCTCCAGCAAGCATGGATTGAAGTTCTGGTGGGCAAACTTGAAATGCCTTCTGGATGACGCGACAACCGTGCATTTTCAGAGACAGCTTCACGACGGACTGGCGGAATCTCTCTACAATGGCACGGCGCTGATCAGGAGTGCAAATGTCCAATAATTTCTGGACCACGGCACTTCCGGAAGAATCACCAGCCAGCATTTCCATCTTTGGGAGTAGTGCTTCGAAGACTTCTCTGCGCTCAGCGGTGTTTGCCGTCTCCAACTTGGCCTGCAGAAAGCGGCTGCCCTCGGTGTCTTGGGCCAACTCCGCAACATGCGATAGAACGTCTCGCAAAAGCACCTGGCTCTTTGCTCCATCACGCCGAACCTCTGCCAAGGCGCCCAGGACAGCAGTGTCGCCAATGAGTTCACCTACGGCAAGTGGTGCAGTCGTGGTGGATTCAAATTCCTTCTTTCCTTTGCGGCCGCTTCGTTTTTTGGCCTGAGGAGCAGTCTCCATCTCACTGGAACTTGGTTTGGCGCTTTCAGCGGACTGCGTCCCTGCCGGCAGCGATGCACCGCCTGCACCCATGTTCACAACTCCCCATGCGCCAGGCAGCACGCTACCTCCAACCATGCTAGGATCCAAAGGATAAATCCATGGATAGAATGCTGGCATTGCCCCAGGAAGAGCTGCCACAGCAGGCATCGCCGCACTTGTCTTTGTTGGCGCACCCGCAGTGGGGTCCAACATCCGACCCGTGAGCAGGTTTGGCAGCTGAGCCTGAGGCTGCGGTGTTTGGCAACCTTGGCCCTGAAGAGCTTGTTGGAGCAGGAGCGTCTGAAGGTGTTGAGTTGGCAACTGGTCCGTCTTCTGGTTGAGTTGCTGCAACAGCTGCTGCTGTTGGTGGCTCAAGGGCTGCATTGACACTTGTTGCCCCAAGTTTCCGATGGGGACATGCATTGGCATCTGCTCAAAGCCCTCTGTCGGGGCCATCGCAAGCTCCATGGCTCCCCAAGTTTCACTAAGACCGGCGTCTGCGGTTCCCAAATTAAGCCAAGAAAAATGCTTCTTGAGCCTTATGTATGCATGTATGGATGGATGGACGGACGGACGTATGTATACTGTATGTGTCCTGTCTATGAAAAGCTTGCATGTGAATGAGTTTCTATGCATTGTTGGACATTTTTTCTGTTGGTGTGTTTCTTTGCTGGTTGACACCAAGCGATTGATCTGTTGCATGTCTTACATGACTAGATTAAAGGATGTGCCAAGAGCTACTCTTCTGGGAATCAAGTGTGAGAATTTGCAAATGCAGTCACTGCGAGACATAGCACATAAATCCTTATGATCATACTGATCACATGGGACACGACCACTCAAATGGGTCAAATTCTCTTGTTACTAGTAGTGAGGCCAGGAGCTACTAGTAGAGTCCTTGCTCCTAGTGGCGATGCCCCTTATTCCTAGTAGCATCCTTGCGAATTACTAGTGCTACTATGTGCTACTAGTCACAAGTAGTAAGTGAGAACTGTCTGGGACATCTCTCCAGTTCCGGATCCGCGCCTTGCTTTGGCCCTCGGGGGGCAGACCTGTCGGCCCGTCAGCCAAGGTGCGGCATCGACAAACGGGCACACCAACCAACTCACAAGAAAATTGGAAAACCGACCACAAAACTTGCATTGTGGGATATTGTGGGTGGTGGGCATGAGCTTTTCTATCCTGTAGAACTCTATGAAACAAACATTCTGCATGGGGGGCAGTCAGGCTTGAGGCTGTGGTTTATCTCTGCCACCCTCAGCAATCTAAACTGGACGACAACTGCAAAGCAGCAGGAAGGACGCTACTAGGGTGGAGGCCACTACTACTAGGAACAAGGACGCTACTAGGGTTTTGTGGCATCGCTACTAGTAGCAAGGACGCTACTAGTAACTTCCCCTTTTAGAGTTCCTGCCCTGCCTGGCTCGGCGTCGTTCGCCTCTCAGACTCGCGGTCTTTCCACGGGGGAGATGCCGATTTGGAAACCTGTTGGATCGAAGTGTCTACAAAACGATTCCAAAGGTCTAAATGTAACAAAGAACAGAAACATAAAAGAACACATCCAGCAAAGGCCTTCGTATACCCTTCTGTCTTTTCTTTGTTTAAACGACATCTTTTTTTTGTCGCTTATCCACTTGTCTTATCCAACAAACTCTTCGATTGAGCAGTCTTGGTGAGCAATGATCGGAGCAATCACCGGCCCTCCGAACGTACTGTTTAGGAAACTTATTGTTATGATGATGATTATCATTCTTGTAGTTGTGGTGTGACACATAACATAATATTATATGATATATAATGGTGGCGATGGTGAAAGCAGGTCGGAGAATGGATGAGGATGGTGCAAGGTACAAAACCGAAAATGACTACACTACACCAGCAAAGTTTGGTGTCGAAAGGCCCAAGGAAAAGCTGGTGTATGACTACCCCGCTGTGAATCAGCACTGTCACATACTGTCATAGCTTGGTGGGGTGCATTTGGGTGCTTTAGAGCCGCCCAGTGTGGCTGGTTTCCTGCAGAACATCGAGAAAAATGCTTGACCAGCAACTGGACCCCACCTGAGCTGTAACACTGTTGAAAGATCCTTGACAGCAGTTGAATATAGCAACTGATACGATCACTGAGATGCCTCCAAAAACATCTGCAACTGCGGACATGTGTGTGATTTCCTGAGCTTGCTACAAGCTCTTCAGGCTTTGTTAAGGGAGAGATTCCCAAATATTCAAAGGTTGTGCTTTGTGAACATCCCCAGGTAGACCATTTTGTGCATTATCGAAATGTTCAATAGGAGTACACTAGGATGCCAAGTCTTTGGGGAGGGCCGTCCACAACTCCCTTGTCAAGCCAAGAAAGAGCTCTTAACGACGAAGATTTGAAGATCACCTTCCGGCACCAAGAAGCTACTAGTAACAAGTGCATCACTACTAGTAACAAGGGCATTACTACTAGTAGCTTCTTGCTACTAGTAGTAAGGCCAGGAGCCCCTAGCAGCGATGCCCTTTGCTCCTAGAGGCGCGATTCCCTTTCATCTTCTGGCACCTTTCTCATCTTGCTGCTTTGGAAGACGTATGCCCATCGCTGACAACTCCAAGCGAGGCACGCCGCACTCTTCGAACCTCGTCGACCCGATCCGGACGGCTCCGAGGCGCGACGAACGGACGTTGGCGTTGTCACGCCGCGGACCAGTGCTTTCCTTTTTTTCTTTCTCAACGAAGGTCGTGACATTTGCATCGTTTTCATTGCGCTAAACTTCATGAGATCGCATGAGGAACTTCAGCAACTTCAGTTGCAGGTTGAAGGGCTCCATCGAAACTTTGATGTCTCTCATTTTCAGTCAGCCGTTGCAGCAATGCCTCATGTTTGATGACTTTGGGAGCAACCTCTCGCAGTTGTTCCAACAAAGCTGCAATCTTTTGCGTCACTGACTCCTCAGGACCTGGTGTCGCTGCTGGCACCGTTGGGGGCGAACCCTGCAGGTGGCTTTCCACTTCGGCCAGTTTGCGAAGGCCGCTAGCAAGCTCTTGCTGGCAAATCTCCAAATCCAAGTGCTGACGCTGCTCCAAACTTCGAATCTGATCTTGTAGCTCACCGCGCCACAGCTGAAGCTCCAAATTGACATCGGCCATTCGCATCTCTAGCAAGGCCATAGCGCTCTCCTGTGTGGCCAACTGTGCTGATATCGCAGGGCTGGGAGCAGCTATCAGATCTTCAGCATCTTCCATCTGGGAGACACGAGCATGGAGATTGACCAGGCTTTGATTCACATCCTCCGCAACAGCAGTTCGCTCATCGATCCACGATTCCACCCGGAGCAAGCGCCGAGACAGGCGGCTGATGATGTCTTCGCTGGAGGAAGAGGACAATCGAGCAAGGGATTCCATCTGTTGACAGCGCTGCTCCAAGTCAGCAAACTTCTTTTGCATGGCTTCCTCGAGCTCTTGCTTCCATGTCCTCGACTGTGCCACAGCCAACCAACGATTCATGTTTTACACTTCAAGAACGCTGACCTGACAGAATGGAAACGGGGTTTTCCTTCTGAGTCTTGTGAATATATTGAATGACCAATGGATCCATTGATCTCTCAGCAGGAACCACCCCACTCAAAACCCAAACTAAGGGGTGTCCCTTCAATTTAGGCCTTGAACGGGTGGCTCTCCTTCTTATTCCGACTCACAGGCTATATATAGTATATACCTGTTATATCTTCCAACCAACTATGCAAAAGTTCGGCCTTTTGAATGTTGCACACTTGGAATATATTATCTTTAGGATAGCGGATAGCATCTAGATAAACCTATATGTGTCCATATGTTAAATCCCCGCCTCAGGCGATCATCCATCTGCTCCACTCGTCGCATCTGAAGCTCCATTTCACTGGACAGGCCTTGATAGCTTCCCGCCAGCTCGGCCAGGCGCCGATCGAACCTCGTTGCCTCGGCTCCGCACAGCTTCGCACGACTCGCCTCGTCACGCAGCGTCTCGTTCTGTTGTTGCACCTTGGAGTGGACCAGACGAAGCGAAGGAATAAAGACATGTTCCGGAGAAGAGGATTCATCCTGGGAAAATACACATTTTATCAACACTTGAGAGGAGGGAGACACGAAAGGTAGGACAGCGGGAAGAGAAGAAAACGCGAGAGGCAGGAACAAAAATGCAATGTTCGACATGGTGATTTATCCCCTCGGAGGCGACCTTTCGTAAATATATGTTCATATGCACTCTAAATGTTCAAACATATGCTCTCGAAATGTTCAAAAAGGTTCTTAGGAAAACAAACTTGCCCCATGGCTCAGATCATCGGTGAGCATTGAATCGGAACATCATAGGATTTGTCCTGAAACCATAAGAGGCTCACGAAGACGCTCCCCAGGAGAGAATTGACGTGCTTCACAAAACAAACTCTAGGTATGTATCCCCTCGGGGAACACCTTTCGTGATTAGAATTTCATATTCACTCTTTCTAAAATGTTCAAGAGGGTTTCAACTATCCTGAAATCATGAGAGGCTCACGAAGACGTTCTCCAGGAGAGAATTGATTTTAGAGGGGGGAGGGGGGGGGGGG